TTTTACCAAAGTCAAGTGGGTGCACACACCCTTTCGTTCACCCCACCCCCGAGTAAATCCTAGCCTGCGAACAGGCTCTCAAGCTGAATTGAGAGCCTACATCGATGACTAATGAATTTGAATATCTGCGTCTCAAATCGCGACGCGAAATTCTCATTGGTCAGATGCTATAATTTATATGTTTCCGCTGAGCTCTATATATGTCAACTGCTGAAGCACTATGCATAAAAAACACATTAACTGATCAAATTGGTCTTGGCCATCTTAAGTCAAAGCACAAAATGTTCTGTTTTGAGAAAACAGTATTTAAAACATTTGAACTTTTGCTTGAATATCTTGTATTTCGAAAAACAGTGTAAACTGTACGGTCTAAATTTAGTTTGCACGAAAGTTGTAAACAACACCATATAAGGATAGACATTCCATATTTGGAAAAACGAACGTTACGGGGCAGATATTCAAAATTGTATATCATCGATGCAGGCTCTCAATTCAGCTTGAGAGCCTGTTCGCAGGCTAGTAAATCCCTGACCCTGTTACTAACTGTTCTCATTTCTATATTTATTGGCATTCATTTCATGCAAGGCCATGCCCAGCCATTCCTAAAATCAACATAAAGGACATTGGCAATAAAAAATTCGTTTAGTTCATTTGAAAGAACTCTTAAAACTATAGTAAACTATATTACAGATTGTTTACATCTTGCTTGGTTTTCAAAATATTTCGACTGAAAAAGGTGAGCTGTTCGCCATCTTGGATTATTGAGGATATGCATGTTACGTCAAGAGAGGGGTCACGCTAATTTTTTATCTTGAGAGTAAGCGATCAATATCGGTCCAAAAGTTCGTTTCTGGTTGCTGTCAGAAATTTAGAAATGATTAAAAAGATTTCAAACAATTTTGGATTGTTACTCGGTCATTTTAGAGTAGTTTTATATGGTTAACCCAACTCCTGACGTCATCAAAACCATAGTTAATGAGGTCAAGAATAGAGCTTTCCCCTTATGAGTGAAATTTTGATCTAGACAAGCCTGGACAAAATTTCATCACAGCTTGAAAGAGCATCACAAAATTAGTAATATTCTGAAGTTTCGTTGCGAAATGTTGTAAAATGTGGATAATATAGCCTTGCAAAGTTTGCCGTTTTGCAGTCATTTTGTATAACGCACGGAAAATTGGTAATCAGATGATCAAACTGTAATACAAAATTCAAACTTTTCAATTTGTATAATACAAAATGACTGAAAATTGCAAACTTCGCAAGGCTATATTATCCGCATTTTACAACATTTCGCAACGAAACTTCGGAATATTACTAATTTTGTGATGCTCTTTCAAGCTGTGATGAAATTTTGTCCAGGCTTGTCTAGATCAAAATTTCACTCATAAGGGAAAAGGTCTATTATTCCAAGATGACGGACATTTCGGTCTAAATATTTCGAGAACTAAGCAAGATATGACAAATCGGTAATAGAGTTTAATACATAATTTTAAGAGTTCTTTTGAATGAGACAAACTATTTTTTATTGCCAATGTCCTTTAAGTCTACCTAATACACAAAGTTAGGTTTACTGTAAGCTACTACGGGGCTTTTGTTTTTGTTTTTGGACTGTTCTCAACTTTTCTAACGAATTTCCAAACATCGTCCGCGAGCAACTGTGGTTCCTGAAAGGCTGCAAAATGGCCGCCAAGAGGCATTTCAGTGAATTGTACGATGTTGGGAAAGGCGCGATGTAGCCAAGCTTGTGGTGGTTCGACCAGCATATGTGGAAAATTGGCCAAACCAGTCGGGACTGGAATTGGGCACCTACAAATTGAAGTAACCAGTCGGGTAAGTCTTGGACTAATAAAGTAGTTAACATAATAAAGTGTGGGGGGCATTATGGTGCAATGCAACTCAATGGATTAACTTAGACACATGGGCAGATAGTCCAGCACCCTCCCCTTGACGAGTAAAATTGTCTGGCGTTAGACAGACTAAAATAATAAATTTTAGTAGGGTGCATTAGGACACAATGCAACTTAATGGGCTTAGCTGTTTTTGTTTATATGAAATAGTTCTACAACAGCTAAACTGCACTCCTTAGGGGCTGTTTATCTGGGGCGAGCCAGCCTGGGTACTCAAGCTGGCCCGGTTTAGTGGGTGATCCCAGCTATAGACAGATTTTGATCAAGGCAAGAAGAACGAAATCCAACACCACAGCTAGAAAGAGCGTCTTAGAATGAGTAAAACTGCAAAGATTGGTTTGCTAAATGTTGTAAATTGAAGAAAATATAGCCCTGTGAATATCACAAATTTTGTATATATTTGTATTACGCGCGGTAAAAATAACCACTTTCGGCTCAAAAATGGTTATTTTTTCCCGCGCGTAATGCAAATATATACAAAATATGCGAACTTCACAGGGCTATATTTTCCTCATTTTACAACAATTCGCAACCAAACTTTGCAGTTTTACTCATTTTAAGATACTCTTTCCAGCTATGGTAATGCATTTTGTTCTTCTTGTCTAGATCGAAATTTCGTCTCTAGCTAGAATCATCCGTTGAGAATTGCGTTTATATGGGAACTGAGCTGGCCCGCCTAAGTGACATCCCGCCTCGATTCTGCATACTTACACAAAAGATTTGTCCAACATGTTTTCCCTGTACAGTCTCAATGCAGATGGCATACTTCCAGTTAACCAATACAGCATAATATTAGTAAGAAGTTCGTCTTTGCTAAATTTTGATTCCAAACAAGCAAAACTTTCATCAGTTTCACATCCTGACCATATAAAGAATTTCTCCAGGATATAATTTGCCAGACCCACGGGAGAATCGTTCATTGCTACGCCGATACTCTCTGGCTTCGTTACTAGAAGGACCAACAAAAATACCATGTGTGTTGATGTTATGTACTCAGGTAAATATGATATGTTTGTGATGTTACTCTGAGTGTGCATCCACACTGGGCAAGCTGAAAAGTTTGCCTGACCACGGTGGGAATTGAACCCGCGACCTTTGGGACACTAGTCCAATGCTCTACCAACTGAGGTACGAGGTCAAGTCGTTTTGGGTATGTCTCAGAATACATTAATATCGAAGAAATTAGACTCAATTCCGAAATGTCACCAACTTGAACCGACTGACCTCGTAGCTAAGTTGGTTGAGGATTGGACTAGTATCCCAAAGGTCGCGGGTTCGATTCCCACCGTGGTCAGGCAAACTTTTTTCAGCTTGCCCGGTGTGGATACACACTCAGAGTAACATCGTCAATGGGGAAGCTCTGCAGCTTAATGGGTTAAAGACGCTGAACCTGTCGACCCAAGCTGATTTACATCGGGCGTGTACAAAAGTATACATATAAAGAATTTCAAAAGTTTTTACAAAATTATATAAGCTATATAGTATTATATATAACGTAATTAACTAATAATCTATTTACAAGTAGATCTATATTTACATTAGCTATCAATCAATGTGAGTAGGGATTTTCTTTCGAAAGGAAGAAAAGGATTTGCTCTCTATAATTTCTTTTGTAATAGAATTCCAAAGGTATGCTCCGTCATACATGAAACTTTTTTTCACATTAGCATGCGTTTGCGGTAAACAAAGACTACTTGAAATGTCTCTACGTTTGTAGCTTGTCATCTCGCCTTTATATGTCAGGGGTTTTTTCAGGGATTTTTTAGGGCCGTTAAACGGCCCCAAAAACTCAATCTTGAATTGAGTTTTGAAACTCAATCTTCTCACCATAGTTTCAGTGCAGTAAAAATGAAGTTGTTTGAGTTAAATTCGTGACGTGTGGAAATTAGTTTTCAGTTGGAAACCCGACAATTAAGAAAAAATGGCTGGAATTCATCTCACAACACAAGAGAAACTATGCATTCGCCATCTTTAACCAGTTTATATTATCCCTTAGTGCCCCTGCTTTAACACATTCCGTCTCAACTACATTTATTGAGTACAGGTGTCAGCCTCCCGGTAGGGGGTGGGGATGTGCAGTCACCCCAGCTGTTCAGCTAAACTCAATCTTCTCTGCAAAAACGGACCCAAGAGAAAATCCTGAAAAAAACCCTGTATGTGAAAAGATTAATGAGTGACTTTGGACCCATATTATTTAATAACTTGTACATGCGTTTTGCTTTGCTTCCCTTCCTTTCTGTTTTTAGTGGCTTCCAGCCCAAAACCGTTTATTCACTTTTCACCCAATGGCCTCGTTTCCATGTTAACTTATTTTAGCATGTCAAGGGCAGATAAAGATTATATTCCCATGTTTTCCTGGACGAATTTGTTTCTTGCTGTTCTTAGGCTCAATAACAAAGTAATTTTCATCCCTACTAAGCACAAAACATGACTAGGTATTTGACACAAAAACGAGGCCATTGGGTGAAAATTGAATAAACGGTATGGTCTATTATCCACCAAACCCAGTATTGAAGTTCAACCAAGTGAAGTACAATAAACAATTCTTTCTATTTTGCAGAGGGTCTACCGAAATACGAAAAACAGAATTCTGTTCAGTGCAGAATCACACTCTGGCTGCATCGGTGAATTAAGACTAATGCACATATCAACGGCCTGCCCGGGGGGTACACCCCCGGGACAACCGGGGGGAAACGAGGGGGAATTTGGTATTTTAGCCGTGTATTCTGCCCGTGAACCCCGGGGAAATTACAAACTTAGCAATAATAGGACGACGGGGGGAGGGGAATTAAGTAGGGGACTTTGACATGAGAGGGTCCTGAAGGGGTAAAATGGGAACTGGGATTGATCTATTTTTAGACTGGGACAATGGGATTTGGGTTGCTGGGACTGGGATTTGGCCACTGGGAATGGGAAATGAAGTCCTCAAAAATGGGAATGGGATTGAGGTAATGCGAGTCGATTCCCAATTTTTCTACATTTTAAGTGTTTTAAAATACAATTTTGATCCGTTTTCGGTGTCTTTGGTCATGATTTTTGTTGTTAACTATATTATTCACAGCACTACCTGTGAACAGGCATACTCTGGCGCCCGGAATTCTGGGTTTTCTGATTATGCGTGTCTCAGAATGCTGCAAATGCCATTTCCGGGATTCAAATTTAAAATTTTTCCGTGCCTTCGGCACGAGCCGCCCCCCCCCTAATATTTCATAAAGTGTCCGCCACTTGCTTAAAAGGTCTTAAAACTGTTTATTCTACCGATAAATAAAGGGTTTTTTATTGACTGGAATTTCAATAACTGGGACTGGGATTTCTAATAAAAATGCAACTGGGACTGGGATTTTGCCAAAATTTCAGGTGGGAAATGGGATTGGGACCCCCCCTTCAGGACCCTCACATGACAATTTGAATTTTATAAATGAAGTGAACAATTGGTGCGAACTCAAAATCGCAGGCTCACGAAGAAAAATATCGATCGCCAACTTATTATTTATGATATTTTGTAGTGGTCTTGCTAAAATTTGAATAAATAAATACAGAATACATGAGTGCCATTGTGATACCCCAGTTTGTATGATAATTTCAGGGTGTTAGCCAGAAAAAAAACGTTTTGTCCGTTTAACGTAAATTGGGAAAAAAATTTTTGACCGATCAAAGTCCTTGTGTAGGAATAAATAGTGTTTTTTCCAACGTGTTTCTTCTTAGATGCAAACAACAGTGGCTTGGTTTTCTCTATTTCATTTCCGGTGAATGAACACGGATGCACACCGATGCAGGCACTTTGTTTTGTACATTTCATTTCAGTGAATACACACCCAATATGAATGAAACGCGATACATTTTGAGAAAATAGTTAATGGAAAAAGTAAATAAAACGTTCTTTGATATAATAATATAAAATCAAATGCAATGCACTTTCTCATCAGAAAAAATGAAAATCTTCCAGTAGACCCAGTTGGGAAAGCCCCTTAACTACTTCAATTGGGAAGAGTCCGTCAAACGGACAGTATATGGGCTAGCTAACACCCTGAATTTTTAATTGTTTGTATGCTATTTATATTATGAACTACTTTATTCTAAGCCCCAGGGGGAGGGCAGTTTGACTTACACATTTCCCGGGGGAGGGAGGGGGAATTAATGCATTAGAATCATGTTGTTTCAAAGTCCCGGGGTGTCCCGGGGGTGTACCCCCAGGGCAGGCCGTTGATATGTACATAATGCACTGAGAACCATCGATGATATCAAGGTCCTCTCACCTTGTATATGGAAATAGCCACTCTCCCAAACAGGGGCGGATCCAGGATTTTTCGTACATTAGTCAAAGTTTTCGGATGTACAATCTAGTTTTGCGAGCGGCGAATGCGCGAGGCACCTAGGGGGGCGGGTTCTGTCCCCCAGGAATTTTTATATTTTTAAACCTCAGAAACGCAATTTGCATCACTCTGAAAGGAGCTTCACAAAAAATTAACTTCATGAAATGGGAGATAACTATATATATAGCAACTATCAGTCTGACTGACTCTCACAACTCGCTCCTTAGGGAAAAGTAAAGGAGAACTGGAGAAGTACTTGCATGCAGAAATGTGATAATTGTGGAAGATGTTTCATTTTATCAAATTACGGGTTGCTAGTATTATGTTTAACTATCTCATGATAGTGCTACACTCATTTTTGTTGCCTAATAGCCTTGTCGAGTCATTGATCACTTGACTAGTAATCACTACAGTCTCATATTACTCAAATAAACATATATCAATATTAAAGTCTTAGCATTCATCTATGATCATCTATAAAACCTGACCTTTATATCCTATGTATACTGCATTAATGCATTTATATAGGTTATTCGCCATATTAATAGCCTTCTGAGTTCTGACGGTCCTTCAATTACAAATATGCAAATTTGTTGTGTAAATCAAAATTCATAGCTAAATCTAAATCAAGATACGCGTATTCAAGTTACAGTTTTACATATGCATGGCGCGCATCTTGTTCGCTTATAAATATTGTTATGCTGTCTAAAACGAAATAAAATTTACATATCACATTAAATTTACCTTATTGCACTTCAGAATAAAGATCTCGGCGCCAATACTTCTACTCAAACAGTCAAACTTACTGTAGTTCGTGCTATTCGTAACTGCTCACTGAATGGAACTCTCCGATATTTAGCGTTGATTTTCCTCCCAAGATCAGCGCAACAGTCTTGTAAGACAGCTAAATCATTCACCGCAAATGCGGATTGAACCGTTTCGTGAATACTACAAGGACTGTTGTCTGGAGCAGCAGACATTTCCAAATTTTCCGTAGATATCTTTAAATTGAATCTTTCGACAAAGCTACAACATGACACTTCGAATGAGCGCGCGCTTGGAAAGACTTTATCACGCGTGAAATATTAATGATATTCCGACCGATGGAGTGCCCCTGACTTTTGTAAATCGGTCAGAACTCCCCACAGATCAGTCAAAATCGCAAAAAATCGCTTGTTTCCATGGCAATAAGCGTCTAGACCAATCAGAACACTGGATTTTGACTTTTTGACTGACCGACTTTGCGTATGTCAGCTGCTCATTGACTTGACTAAGCTCGTCGGCTCAACCAGTATGAAATTTGATCACTGGACTACAGTTCGATTGGAATGTTAATTGCTAGCGCTGCATGATAATAGATACTGGACTATTATAAGGTGTCGCTGCATGATAAAATTAATAACTGGACTATTGGTCGAATATTTAAGACTTTAATTAAGTTTGCCATTTTTACGTTAGTCGCGTGACTGGTTTGACGACCCCTAGATCCGCCCCTGCTCCCAAAGCAGTTTGCCAAAAAATTTCTTCAACGGAAGCACCTTATGTTGTTCATCACCCAGACTCCAGGAGGGAAAGAGATACGCAGAGATCAGTGAAAGTGGACCATATGGAGGCGATGTTGGAAACATGTTTAGATGGATACCTTTGATATGGCTGGAAAATAACAAGTTACTTGGAGACTACTCATTTACATCCAAAGTTCTGAGCCTTATATTAAGACTCCAGGAGGAAACGTGATGTGCCGAGAACCGTGTAAATGGACCATATAGAGGTGATGTTTATACAAACATGTTCACATAGTCATTGCCATGGCTATTTATTAAAAAGTGGCAGTGTCACAAATTGTCATTTTTCAAGTATGGCCATCCATAAAACAGTTTCGACAAGCGGCTGGCTTTATTACCTACCAAGAAAATCTAGCTCATGCCTATGATAATACATTAGCAAGGGCAGATCTTAAGCCTCATCTGCAAGGAGGGGTGCATGTTTTCCATGGGGTGGTGCATGAGAGAGCCTTACTGCCCACTCTCCTCTGCAGTCTGCAATGCTACTATCCCAACATTAACATTATTTGAGATGGCCGATCGCGAATCTGCATGTTCACCGTTCTGTTCCATTTTACAGCACATTTGCTTGTTAAAGTACAGTGCCGTAAACCTCCGACTATAAGCCCTGGGTTTGTATACTTTCCTAAGCGATTTTTGATGGGCTTATACAAGGGGGGCTTATATACAGGGGGGCTAATACATCGACGATCGCTCGTGTTGTCATAAACAGTCAGTCATAAACAGGAAAATAAACATGTATTAATAACGCACTTTGATTAACAATTAGTCGGCTATAAAGACAATGACAATGTTTTTAAATATTGTTCTCTGCTATATTAAAAGATAATGTCAATGTTGAATAACGTAGTGGGCAGTAGGGCTAATATTCAGGGGACTTATATTGGGGGGCTTATATTTGGGGGGGGGCTTATATTCGGTTGGGCTTATATCCGGAGGGGGCGGCTTATATTTGGGGGGGGGCTTATATTTGGAATGTGGTGTGCTTATCAATTAAATTGTTTCAAGAAATCAAAACAGGTTAACAGTACAAATTCTGCTAATTGCTATGGTCAAGCAGATTTTTAGGGCGGTGCTGGACTTCTCTAAGGGGGGGGGGGGCTAGACACAACTAGGTGGGGTGTGCTCTCCCCCACCTCTGCAAAAACCTACTGTTTAGATACTGACCTGGTATCAATAAGTGACATAGCTCTTGCAACAGCGGCTCCCCAATCCCCGCCTTGAACATAATACTCGCTATGCCCAAGGCGTGCCATGAGCTTTTTAAAGAAGTTCGCAATCTGCAGTATGTCAAGTCCAGATTTGTGTGGGGCCTCTGAGAAAATATACCCTGGCAAAGACGGGCATATCACTTCGAAACTAAAGTTGTCCTCTGATTTTCCTGTAAGAAGGGGAATTATTTTATAGAACTCGTAAAATGATCCCGGCCAACCGTGGACAAGCATGATCGGCACGACTCTGCGAGTTTTGGTTGTAGGTTTTGCATGGACATAGTGTATTTTAATGCCGTCGATCGTGGCTATATAATGCTTGAAGTTGTTTAGAATTTTTTCTTGCTTCTTCCATTTGAATTCATTTAACCAATAGCTAAAATAAGAAGTATATTATACAACAATTTTAGGGGGAGTCAGTATTTTCAAGGGGAGTCAGCGTTGCCACTCAATGGGATTGCCTTCCCGTTTTGACCAACAATTTCACAAATTAAAAATCGCAATATATAGTTTGTATATATTATATATGAGTAGAAAATGCATATTCTCAAGTGAAATATTTCATAATTTCTGGACTGCACAAGCAGAAAATTATGCAGCAGCTGGGTTTTGAACCTGCAACCTTCAAATGACTAGACGATGCTCTACCAACTGAGCTACACAGTCAGGACGGATTGAAGACTGGAAATTATGAACTACATACTGAATGTCATAAACATACTTGTTTATATTAAGGGAGTGTACATTATATATGGTGGGGGAGCAAAAAAATTTGGTGTTTGTTTTTGGGGATCACCAGAGTTTGGTCATGAATCCTTTAGCAATGTTTTGACCTCTTTAAAATTTGTAGTGCTTTCGTGACTGGCACACATTGGCACAAACTTTGTACAAGTTGCTAATGTGCTGGTACCCCTTGGTACGACTGTCACCTTTGAACAATCTGGCTATAATATGCTAATTTAAACTATATATGAGATGATATATTCGATTTAAAAGTTTGATCAAACCTAAAATAGGAATGTTATATAACTGAGCTAAAAATAATATATTTTTTCTATAATAATTCACACACAATGGGGTTTATACATAGGTAGTCTCAGACACCTACTTTATTATTTTATTCTAATGCCAGATGATTTTACTTGTCAAGGGGATTAACCCCAGCCCTTAATTTTGATCCAGAGGTTGCATTGATAGTAATCACAAATATTTTGCATAAATTTAAGGACAATACAGGCCTGTTTTAATTTTGCATAAATATATACCTCATAATTTTTTCTAATTCTTTAACATTGCTACCGTATTCCCAATTTGTATCCTCCAGCGAACGAAAATATCTTGCATTTGTCAAACGCCAGCTCAAATCTGCCAGCTTGTCTTCCTCGAATTGAATAGGAGCCATTTCCTCGATATTTATATCGATGATGTTCGGTAAACTAGCAGGCGCCTCCTTGGATGGACCCCACCATTCGTCTGTAGCGACAGGTGGGCTTATCGGTGTATTCAACGCACGAAATCCCAAAAATATTGCGAGTATTACAACCAAGACGCTCGACACAATTACAGTGAGCCATTTCATTGTTGCGATTTGCAAACAACACGAAATTTTAGCAACAAAATATTGACAAAAGCCTGTGGCTGTAAAATAATCCCTGGGGATTTGTGTAATCTACACGAGTACACATAGGCGTGGCAGTCTGGTCCGGGCTTATGTTTCCACTTTCAACAGTTTCAAGCGCAATTAGAGGTAATAGAGGTATAAAATTTCAACTTTCTTAGACAGTGTAAAAATTAGCAAAAAAAGTAACGAGTAAAAATTACAATTCTCCGAAATGGTAATTATTACAAATTAGAAATTACTTTCGTTCAAAAGTAATTAATTACTAATCACTTGTTAAAAAGTAAATGATTACTTATTAAAAAGAGAAGAAACAAAATTTAATTCTATAACTTGTTAATTGACTACTAATTACTTATTATTTGTTAATTAAAAAGTAATTGATTACTAATAACTTATTAATTAAAGAGAAGAAACAAAATTACTAACTACGTGTTAATTAAAAAGTAATTGATTACTAATTACTTGTTAAAGTAATTGACTACTGCTGTAATTACTTGTTAAAAAGTAATTAATTACAATTTACTAATTACTTGTTAAAAGTAATTGATTAATACTAATTACTTGTCACATTGTACCTCCACAGACATTCAACTTCAATGCCATTTCCTTTTTCTGAAATTTCCTGATATGGTAAGTTGGAAAAAAAGCTAAGATATTGCCTAATTTCCAACTAAAAAAGGGATCTGATATTGAAATTGACATCTCCCTCGCCCCCTTTGCCAAAACTAGGAGGGGTTAACACACGCCATCTTTAACCCCACCCCTGCGTAAATACTGATGCCTCATTACCAACTCTTCTCATTTCTCCATTTATTTGCATTCATTTAATTCAGGGCCATATCCAGCCATTCCTTAAATCAACTAGAGTCTAGGTAATACATTAAATTAGAGTCTACTGTAAAGTTTATAATTCCTATTATGCATCTTGTGTTTTTGCTTTTGGACTGTTCTCAACTTCTCTAACAAATGTCCAAATGTCGTCCGCAAGCAACTGTGGTTCCTGAAGGGCGGCAAAATGGCCGCCACGAGGCATTTCAGTGAATTGAACAATGTTAGGAAAGGTGACATGTAGCCAAGCTTGTGGTTGCTGAATCACATCCTGTGGAAAGTTTGCTAAGCCAGTCGGGACTGGATTTGGGCTCCTGCAAATTGAAATAAACAGTGGTAAGTTTGGACTCTAATACCCCCTAATATTCATACTAGATAGAACTTGAAAGATATGTTTTGCACTTCATTTGGTTGAACTAGAATGTTGGGTTTGGTGGAAAATCCAAGTAAGCATATATATACATAATTTAAGACCTAACCAGGAACGGTTCCGAAAAATGCAACACCAGATCGTAGGGCCACAGGTTCGACTCTAGCATTGCATTTTTCACAACCGTTCATGGTTAGGTCTTATAATTATGCTACTTGGATTATCCACCAAACCCAGCATTCATACTAGGTATATAGCATCTATCATATCTATAATCAGTTGAAGGGTTGCCCGTAGAGTAAGGTAGCCATCCGTGTCCCCCTCCCCCCCTTTTCGAGAGTCTTGTTAGCATTTCAGTTCGACACCACTGCCGCCAGTATGGTTGCCATCTTTATCTAGTATCCTGATTGTATCTGCCAAAAAAGGTACACATGCACTTACATCAGAGATCTGTCAGACCACTTGTTTTCCCGATACAGTCTCATCGCAGATGGCATACTTCCAGTTAACCAATACAGCATAATATTAGTAAGAAGTTCGTCTTTGCTAAATTTTGATTCCACGCAAGCAAAATGTTCATGAGCTTTACATCCTGACCATGTAAGGAATTTCTCCAGGATATAATTTGCAAGACCGACAGGAGAATCATTCATAGCAACACCGATGCTCTCTGGTTTTGTTGCTGAAAAAAATTGCACAACACTTTCAGACCAAAGGCTTGCATAATAATACACCCTACCAGAAAGTGTGCTCTACCTTCAAATATAGAGCCTTGTATACATTATATTGGATAATATAAAAGACCTTTATATAATTTAGTCATCAGTAGCAAATAAATTATTAGGGCCTGTAAAGCCGATATCTCTATCCCGAAAACAAGGCTCTGCCTCTGGAAGGGTCTATTGTGCCACTGTTCAGTATTCCATCTTCATTGATTTAAAAATCCCACTGTTCTTCATGCGATCCACTGTTTCCAATGATTTTAATTTTTTGCACAGGGCCTACCGTACCAAAATGAGAAAACACAATTCTGTTGGGTGCATGTCCGTGAATCTAACTCCAGTCGTGTTGGTGAAACACACATGCACTACACAGCCAGAAATCTCACAGGCCTGTCGCAAGCTGTTGATTTTACCGGCTTGCGGCAAGTTGTCAACAAGTCGCGACAGGTCTGTTGGTTTCGTCAGGCGGTAACAGGCTTGCGGTAACAGGTCTGTCGCAAGCTGTTGACAACAGAGCCGTAGCGACTTGTTGAAACAACCCGCTACAAGCCTGTTACTAACAAGAGATAACAGGTCTGATAGAACAACTTGCAGCAAGTCTGTTGAAATCAACAGGTCTGTTACAACCTGTTCCAACCAGTGAACTGTTCCAACAGACCTGTCGGGAGTTGTTTTTGTCAAGTCTGCAGCAAGCTTGTTATCAGACCTGCGACAAACCTGTCCACAACAAACAATTTTTGTCCTGTCACAACAAGTTTCAACAAGCCTGTTGTTGGGAAACAAACCGAAAGTGTTAGTAAAGAGATATAAAATCGCACGAAATGGACACTTCCGGCCTCACTTTCTCATTTAATCATTGTCATTGGTGGCAATATTAAATCACATAGGAGAGATTATAGTCCATAGTATCTATTCTCTGATTATTATAAAATGCAAAAGCCGCTGTTTTATTTTTTTTTAAAAAGTTCCGATTTCCAAAATCCAAATTCCAATTTGCTGACGTGTGCTATCGCTATATTTCCTTAATCTGATTGGATAAACGCGTGTGTACACGTCATCATTCCTCGTTGCAATTGGGCGAAATATTACAAACATATCAATCACGTAATCATGTTTAGTTGTTTTTGAATTTTGAGCAAACAAAATTTCAACAACTGCCTCAAACAAAATCAAACAAGTTCAAAGCTGTTTTGATTTTTGAAGAAACTGTGGCAATGAGAATACAAGATCTAGAGCTTAAGAAATGAAAAATACATGAGCAACCGAGTGTTCACTGCAACGTTCTTCATTGTTGAAATGAATATGAAATTCGTTATATAATTTCTTTCCAATTTCAAGTGAAATCTGCGAGCGAGGAAGACGTCTTATTGAAGCTGTGTGTTATTGTATGTACTATTTTGAAGAAAAAATATGCAAGTAGGTTGTCATATTTCGGTCGTATTTAAAGACCAATTAATTTTGAAAATTGTTTACGATCTTTTCTTGAATTTGTCGTATTTTATCGGCTGGTTTGCTCAAAAATTATCTCGCAAGTTTTGTTTATAAGTGTTCATATGAAAGTTTAGCTATTTCACGAAACACTACAACCGAAATATGGCAACCTGTTTGGCCGTTTTTTGTTCAAAATAGTGGATACACAAGCTTCATAAGATGCTTTCCTCGGTTTGCAACAGGTCTGTCGCAAGTTGTTGAAAACAGCATTGCTGCAGCTCTGTGTCAACAATTTGCGACAGGCCTGTTGAAAACAGCATTGCTGCAGCTCTGTCACAACAACTTCTAACAGACCTGTTGAAAACAGCATTGCTGCAGCTCTGTCACAACAGCTTGTAACAGACCTGTTGACAGGCCGTTGCGGACCTGTCAGAACAGACAGATACAAGGCGAGCGAACGCATCCAGATATCGTCTTGTTGACAACAGGATTTAACAGATCTGTTGCATATCTGTTCCGACTTGCGCGTTTCTGGCTGTGTTTGTCTGTCACAAAAATTTCTCTAAAGTTAATTTTCTAACAAAAGTTAATTTTCTAGTGTAGCAGGGCTGTTTTTAAATCAAGATTCTGTTGGCGTCTCACTCGTTTCAATAGTTGCAGGGTGTTGTTGATGGAAATTATCGAGTGGAAATTTATGTACTGTTTATTAGACCTAACCAGGAACATCTGCGAAAAATGCAACTTTACACTAGGTCCCTGGCAGAAATTGAACTTGCGGTCCTGCGATTTCGGTGCAGCGCTCTAACCAACTGAGTTACAGAGGCCAGTTGTCGAGTTGGTCAGAGCGCTGTACCGGAGTCACAGGGCCGTCTATTGTAAAGTTGCATTAATAAAATGTATATAAATTTCCACTCCGATAATTTCCATCAGTAACACCTTGCAACTGTTTTTTAAAAACCTCTTTAACAAAATGCCGTCAGAATAGACAACTTGTATGTTAGACTAATTTGTTATGTAGACAAATAAAGTATATTCCCGTGAAGAACGTATTATAAAATTAGTAAGTGTGCAAAATTGGTTATGAAATGTTGTAAAGTACGGAAAATAAACCTTTATCGATAAACTTTGAGTTTGATATAAAACACTTTCAAATTCTCGCATGCAAATAACTTTGCTTTCTTTTTTATTTAAAATTTTAATATAATAAAAAAAGAGTAATCAATAATAAAAGATACACTGAAATTATATGCTGTCTTTTTCATTATTCGCAACGATCGATTATAAAGCAAACAATACATTTATCTATCAATATTTAAAGAAAACTTGCCTGGGCGTCTGTGCTCCCTTGTTTTCGCAATTATTTCGCCTTTTTTCTCAAAAAGCTTTTGAAATTTACAAATCTTGTAAAAATGAAATATATTTGCAAGAAATCAAATATATTTGCAAGAAATCGTGTTTGCTATTTCCCTGTCGTCTGTCGTCATGCAGTCGTTATAATGCAAATTTTAAATTGGACCAATAAGTGTTCGTTTTTCATGACAGTCCGCTATATTTAGAGATCAGCCGGAATTAGTACGTACCCTCGCCCAGGGCAAAATTTGGAAACTTTGCAAGGCTATGTTAATTTTCCAAGCTTTATATAATTTCGCAACCAAATTTAATTTGCAATTTTACTAATTTCATTATGTTCTTTTTAGCTGCGGTGTTTGATTCCCTTCTCTTTACTTAGATTAAAATTTAGTCTAACATGCAAGTTGTCCATTAGTTCTACCAATTTTCGGGGGACGTCCGTGTTGACAAAAACGTCGCTTGCTTATGTTCACAAATTAAACTGCATCCCTTATTTACATACACATATTTAGCGACGCTAGCCCCGACAACTACAAAAGTTGATTCCCACGGGGGGCGTCCATATAAAAATTGTTACAGACAGTGTTGTAACGAGTCGAGTCCAGAGACGGATTTTCATATTTTCGTTCGGGGGGGGTGGATAAATATCTGGGGGGGGGGGGGGG